GTTCACCTGCTTCTGAGTAAGAGAGAGAGAGAGAGAGAGAGAGAGAGAGTTGGGAGTCAAGATTGGGTGACATTGGACCGGCATTGGGCAGAGATATTAGGGGGGACTTTGTGGAGACCACGAGTGATATTTGAGTTGACGACATGTCCATTGCTCCTCCTCCTCCATCTCTTTCCCCTCCTCTTCATCCGTGGATGATCGCTGGCCTGGCGCCCTTCGTCTGTGTATTGGACGACAGGACCCTTCTCACCCTGTCTGATGATGATGCTGTGATGCAGTCAGCCCGAGAGCTTTGCGTCGGGTCATGGTATATCAGTCTTCCACTACGTTATTTGTGCTCTATCTCTTTGGGTTGGTTCTCGGTTCTGATCCTTCCCTTTGGGCATGCGACACGAACAGACCATCGGAGCACTCATCAGGATATTACCTGCAAGATATACTCCGTGCGGGGAGGCACGAGTCGTTTCTCTCGTGCCTCGTGATTCTCAGATTGTCAATTGTTTTCCTCAGATTGTCTTTTTTTTTCTTTCTTTGTCTTTTTTCAAAGGGCGGCAGCCTTGGGATATCGTCTTCAAACTAACAAGGCCCCAGGTAAATTCAGAGTTAGTTTTACTTGTCTGAGTCCATTGGGGTTTGAACTGAGGTCTGCATTTCAACAGTTCATGGGTGTACCAACTGAACTCGGCTCGTCGGTAGTTTGTCGAATTTGCAGTTTCTTATGTTCTGAGATTGTCAGTTTGCATTTTCCTTTTTTTTTCTTTTTTTTTTTTGGACCGTCTCCTGTTTCATGCGTGCCATCCTTGCACAGTCCCCATGCTAATCAATCTTCTCTGTATCACTCCAATTTTTCGCTCCAATTTTAACGGATGTCACGAAGGATGCCACTTTTCGGTTTCTAAGATTCTCAGCTTCCACTTTTTTCTTTCTTTTTGAAAAGGGCGAGGGCGTTGAGATGTCATCTCCAAACTGACCAACCCCAGGTAAATTCAGAGTTGAGAGTTACATATGGTTGCATCTGGATTCGAACGTGGGTCTGTGTTTCGACAGTTCATGGGTGTGTCAATTGAGATTCACAGTTTTTCAGTTTCTGGCATTCTGAGTTTCTTACTCGCTGATATCCTTGGTATCTTTTTCTTTTTTTCGTAAACAAATAAGTCGGTCCCTTATGATCCTGGCTCCTGCCCGTTCTTGGGGTCCAATTCTCAGTTGTTTTTTCTTTTCTTTTTGTCTGCTCTCAAATTCTTTCGAATTCACCTTTCACTACCTACCTACCACTACTAGGTAAGCTATTTTATAACATTTTTTTGAATTTTTTTCTCATTTTATATTTTTGAAAAAAAAAAAACCTGAGAATTATACCTTTCTCGGCCTTTTGGCTCAAAATGGATCAAGTGTAGTATACTAGTATGATAGTATCTGTTCTGCTCAGTTTAATATCTGATCCGTGGTCCATTGGGCCATTAGAAAAGAAGTGGAAAAAAAAAAAAAAAAAAAAAAAACTCAGAATTGACCCCTGAATTGCTTGCAGGGGTCAATTCTCAGTTTCATAGCTTCCCAGGATTCTTTTTTTTCCGGAAAATATAAAATGATAATGAAAAATGTTATAAAATAGTAGCTTACTAAGATTCTGAGATTCTTTCGTTTTTTTTTTTCTTTTTTTTTTTTCCTCTCTGTCACGAAGATCTATGTGGTTCTTCTTTTCTTCTTCTTCTTTTCTTTTTCTTTTTCAGGGTTCTCTGATATTCTCTCTTGTTTTTTGACACTCAAGACTGGAGTTTTTCATGAGCTTCTGAATTCTCTCTTGTTTTTTGACACTCAAGACTGGAGTTTTTCATGAGCTTCTGAATTCTCTCTTGTTTTTTGACACTCAAGACTGGAGTTTTCATGAGCTTCTGAATTCTCTCTTGTTTTTTGACACTCAACTTGACTCAAGACTGGAGTTTTGCATGAGCTTCTGAATTCTCTCTTGTTTTTTGACNCTTCTGAATTCTCTCTTGTTTTTTGACACTCAACTTGACTCAAGACTGGAGTTTTGCATGAGCTTCTGAATTCTCTCTTGTTTTTTGACACTCAAGACTGGAGTTTTTCATGATCTTTTGATTCTCTCTTGTTTTTTGACACTCAAGACTGGAGTTTTTCATGATCTTCTGATTCTCTCTTGTTTTTCTACGCTCAAGACTGGAGTTTTTCATGAGCTTCTGAATTTCTCAGTTTTCTTGCAGGTCTGGCTGCCCCTCTGACTCTGGCAGATAGATACTCTCAAATTAGCACAACAGTCTCAGGGCATACTCACCACCAGGACGTTTTCTTATAGGCTCTGGACTTGGTTGTGGTCGGTTCTTCCAGGTCTGGCAGTAATTGCTGTCAGAGACATTTTAGGGAAGTGCTGGTGTGAGTCTGCCCTCAGTTTCTCACTTCTTGAGACTCACTACCTCCTCGGTTCTTTTTGTCCCTCGTATGTACATATATCGTCAAACAGAGCTGCCCTGTAAACTGTAGGCAAGGAGGGAGAAGAGGACAACATTCTCTGTTGCTGTGCGTTGGACACTACAGCCCTGCAGGGATGGGGTGGATGTCGCGACCGGTACAATTCCACTTTTGAACACCGTGTCGGGGCTGTAGTGGTTAAGAGACTCGGTTCCTGTGGCTGAGGGCGCCGGTCGGAGGCCGTGCGTGCGCAGCCCGGCCTGAAGCCCTAAGAGTACAGATTGGAATCTAGGTCTTCTCAAACCGTCGGGCAGAGAGGGAGAAGAGGACAATGCTGTCTGTCGATTTTCTTCTCCGTTTCAGTCTTTCAGAGCGTTTCTCACTGCTTTGCGAATATGTATGTTGCCCGCTTGCCCGCTAACCAACTCACAAGAGCCGCGATGCCATTGGTGTAAAGAAATCCA